GCCAGGTGCTGGAGGCGGTCTTCAAGCTCATTGATGCATACGACCTCTATGGCAGGTGAAAGCCAGGGCGCGCCCCATGCATCCCGCAGCAGCTGCAACACTCCCACTGTTCCCATATCTCCATTCTGGAGTCCGGCCCGCCGCCGTGGGAGCAGCTCCCTTGACTCGGCCGCGGCGCCAGCTGTTCGAGCTGCCCCGAGCCGCCCGCAGCCGCCCCAGACCCGCGCGGGCCCGCCGCTGCCGCCCGCCGCTGCTGTCCCTCAGCTCATCTCGCTCTCTTGCCACTGATCCGCGACTCGACGCGCCCATCACTCTTACCCCTGCACCCCGGCCTCCCCGCTCTCCCCCGCCCCGGCAGCGTGGCGTACCCCAAGCACCACGGCCAGGATGACATCAGCGACATCTACCTGCTGCCCCAGCGCACCAGGGGCGTCTTTGTGAATATCGCCCTGCAGGTGCGGCGCCAGGGCCCACCAGCTCCCCCCAAAATACTTCGCGTGGTGACCATATGGAAATATCCATTGTGCTTGTAGCGGCGCCTATTGGACATTCCCCGTGAAGTGCCCTAGAGACCCGTGCAAGCCGCTTGAGCCCGCCACGACAATCCCCCACCCCCCAAACACCTCCAGCCGCCCGTACTGACACCAAACCTTGGTCCCCCAGTAGCACCCGACTCCCCCGCCGCCCGGGAACACACACGCACCCTCAAACAGGAGCCCTTTGGCCTGACGCTCATCGAGGCGGCCGCCCACGGCGTCCCCATCGTGGCCACCACCAACGGCGGCCCCGTCGACATCATCGCCACCCTCGGCAACGGCGTGCTGGTGGAGCCGACAGACCACCGAGCGGTCGGCGCCGCGGTGCTGCGGCTGCTCACGGACGGGGCGCTGTGGGAGCAGTGCGCCGCGGCGGGGCGCGACAACATCAACGCCTACTCCTGGCCGGCGCACTGCGTGAAGTGCCTGAACGCCGTCGAGGGGGAGAAGGTGCGGCGCCAGGGGCGCCGCGGCCCGGCTGGCTGGCGCGCGGGCGCAGTCGGAGCGGCTCGGTTCTGACCCATCAGTAGGCATGCCGGTCACACCTCGCCGCGGGCACCGGCGGCATCCTCCTTTGGTCCCATGTTCAGCCGTGCGCCTGTCTCCTCCCACCCCCCCTCCCCGCCCGCAGCTCAAGGCGCGCTCGCGCCGCAAGACGGCAATGCACTCCACCTACAGCGCTGACCTGGAGGATACCGCAGACGCCCTCGCAGCAGGCGCCGCCCCCGCCTTTGCCGCCGCTCCGGACGCCTTCACTCCAGACGGGCTGGCCCCCTTGGCGCCGCCGCCTGCAGAGCCCGCGCCCGCGCCGCGAGCGGCACGCATGAGCCTGGACGGCAACTCTTTCGAAGACCGCGCCGCCCTTGCGGACTCAATTTCGGCGGCGGCGGCGTACTCGGCCGCGGCGGACGCGCGGGCCGGGCCCGCTAAAGGCACGTACGCGGTCCTGATCCTGGACAGCCGCGACACGCTGCGCGCCGCGGCGCCCCTACTGGCCACAAAGGGCAAGGCCCTGCGCGCACTCGCGGCCGGCGCCGGCGCCGCCGTCGGCAGCAGCGGCAGTGGCATCGGCGTCGGCGTGGCGAGCACGTACCCTCTGGCGGAGACCCTCGACCTGCTCGCCGCTGCCGGCCTGCCGCCGGCTGCCGTCGACTTCGCCGCCGCCGCCTGCGGCAGCAGCATCTGGTACGGCGGCCCCGGCGCGCGCGGCGCGGGCTGCTTCGTCGGGGACGCCGGCTACGATGCCCTCATCAGCCGGTCGTGGGACCGCGACACCACCGAGCGCAAGGTCAACGCGATCCTCCAGGAGCCGGGATTGTTCGCCGGCCTGCCCTCCGGCGCGACCACGGCTGCGGCGGCCGCAGCGTCGGCCGCGCGCGTCGCCGCCGACACCGGGCCGCACCTCGTCTGCGTCGACGTGCCGGCCGCCGCGGGGCTGCCGGCCGCGGATCTGTCGGCGCTCGCGGCGCGGCTCAAGCGGCGGCTGCGCGGCGGGGGCGTGCGGGCGCAGGTCGCGGCGCGGGTCGAGGGGGACGGCGCGGGGGCGCTGCACGTGACGCCGCTGCGCGCGAGTCGGGCGCTGGCCCTGCGGCACCTGGTGTTCCACCACCGCGTGGAGATGGCCAACCTCGTATTCGTCAGGTGGGTGCGATTTGTGTGTTGCATGTGCGTGCGTGCGTGCGTATGTGTGTGTGTGTGTCTGTGTGTGTGTGTGTGTGTGTGTGTGTGTGTGTGTGTGTGTGTGTGTGTGTGTGCGCGCGC